AAGCAGGGGGAGTGGGAGAGGGAGAAGCAGGCTCCCCGCAGAGCAGGGAGCCCGATGCGGGACTCGATCCCAGGACCCTGGGATCATGACTTGAGCTGAAGGCAGTCGCTTAACCAACTGAGCCACCCAGGCGCCCCAGAAACTAATTCTTAAAACAAAATTATGTTGGTCAAAACTCTACTGGACACATAAAAATTCTTTTGTGTCACTTTGAGTCATATCTAGTATATGGACCATGAATTTTCAACCTCTGCTGGATTGTGGAGTGTAAAAACTACAAAAATTAAAACCTTTGTATTTTATCCTATAATTATTTAAGGTTATAGACCAGAGATGCAACATAAGAAAAGTAAGTAAACATGTTTTAATCTGGCTACAAAATGTAGGATATTTTTATGTGAAAAATATTAAATGAAAGGGACTTGATAGGAGTTGCTGCTATTAAAATTTTTAAAATAATTTTTAGATAAAATTCATTTTAAAAGTCTATTGTTTAAATTGGTCACAAGAAAAATTTACAAGAAAATTTTGGAAATATTTGTTGGCTCGAGATTATTTTCAACTATCTCATGTGTCTTTAAAAAGAAAAATTGCAACCATATGACTCTTCTCCATTCTATTAGGGGGACGATTCTGGGTCCAAGTTTTCCAGTTTGGGCCTGATGAAGTACTTGATAAATGACATTTTACTTGCCTTTACTACAAGTTGCCAGCAGTGGATGCCACCAGGATGTCTCGGTCAGGTTCATATATGTGCCTGCTCTGTTTGGTCTATGAGACTGGCTGACACTGAAACCAGGAGGAGTTTGGTGGTTTGCAACAGATGCTTTGGGGCCTGCTAATTTCTGAATTTGGTAAGAGTCCATAAATCAGATACAAAAAATACTGTTATCAGTCCCCTCTTTGTTTAGGTTTCTCCCCAGCCTAGTATGAAAGAACTGAAGTTGGTGTTAAGAATATAACTTCTAAGCCTTCACATTAAAATTGAGAAAGTTTGCTACTTAACAGAAAAAAAAGCTAATATAGTTCCTCTCCCCTATCAGGAATTCCTGACAGATGAAGAAGCTTCGTAACAGGGAAAAACTGGGCAGAATAAAGAATATCACATGGAGATTACAAAATCATGCCTCTGTTGAGTGAAATGCAGCATTCCAGATGTTGCCTACATTTCACTTAAAACCAACTGCTAAGGTTTATGAACAATGTAAATTCCTAAAATGTAACAGGGCAGCTCTGCTTCCTAATGCTGAGAAAACACTCAGAAGATCATCAAATCTTGAAAATGTGCTAATGAGCCACAAAGTCTGATTAAAATCAAAGGTGCAGTGTTCCAAAAACACTCTGTGATTTAGATAAGCATGGCTTAGGTTTCATCATTGATTACAGTACTTTAAGGCAAATTTTGCAGTGTTAAGGAAGTCTCAGTAATAAAAACAATTCACAATAGTTCCTTATTAAGTTATTTTCAGGAAGCAGGGTCAAGACCTGAGAACTGTATAAGAGCAAAGAAAAATAGGCCACAAAGATAGACCATTCACTTGATAAAATGTGAACTATTAAGGCTTCATGACACAAAACATGACATTTCCAATTACTTAATTTGATGATTATTTATAAATAATAAGTCCAAGTTACGAGCAGATCTGAACAAAGATGAACATCTTCTGTTATTTAATAATGGAGGATAGAATAGTTGAAAGTATTTTTCATAGACAATATCTCTACGGGAGGGAAAATGCTCACGTATTTCAACTTTGGTTAAGATCAAACTGATCTAATTAGCACTTTCATCTAATTTATTGCTCAGAATTCCCTTTAGTGAGATATGCTTTTGATAAATTTCAAGAAAAACTGGAGAAAAGTTTGGAATTAGACATATAATAGAAAAATGAGAATCCTTCCCCAAAGATAAACCAAAAAATTATCTGAAAAACTAAAATGACAAAATTGGAAAGTCATAAATTATAGTTACATTAATAATGAGACTTACAGAACAACCCAGAATCATTCTGTATTTATTATATTGGGGCATAGGACATAATTTACCTGGAGAATTTTAATTAAAGTTACATACAACTAATTAGAGGAAAAAGGACTTCTCTATCTTCTGCATGAATGGATTTTGTAGCCATATTAGTTATTTATTGTGTAAGGTCATTATAAATCATAAAGCTATTGACAAACTTGTAATTAAATGTGTAAATAACTTTGCTTAATTTTTATTTTCTTATTTCAGATTCTAAGAATTGATTGTGAACAGGGTTCCCACAACACACTTTACATCCTGGACAGTTTAGAATTTCATTTCCACCACTTTGCTCATAGGAGATATAAACTCTATGCTATGGAAACTAAAGCTGTACACTTGGTAGACGTCGTGACCACAATAATGTGTTCACAATACACTGCTAATATGATTAAAAAACTGAGACAGTGGCAAGATACATGTAAAATCCTGGTAGACTAGACCTATTCAGTTCCCTGCAGGAAATTTTTCTTTGGCTAAAAATAGAACCCCTGATGCATTCTTCTTTTACTTACAATTCCATTCTCAGAAAGTAGAAAAAAAAAATCAGATAACTCTGTACTTGATTTGACCAATAAGGAAAGACCAGTCAAATTTAGTTTGTAGAAGAGACGCAGAACTCCCATAACACAATCATCTCCGTTAAGTAAATACATTGCCATACCTCATTATGTGGTATGTGTGGTACATGCCACTTGAGATCTACCATGTACCTTATTTGTAACATCAGTGGCTTTTGAGTTGTAGAAATATGACATCAAGAGTTGCAGATGCACTTCCTCCATCTTTCCTTAGCCTATCTTCAGTGTTTCACTATTTTAGAAATATTTTTAAAGAGATCATGAGAAAACTATATGCCAAGATTCATCAATGATTTTCTCTATCAAGATGTTAGGAAAATAGCAACATTAATCATTAATTCTATACAAACCTTGCTCAGCTTACCTTGCAGTATACCTCTTCAGGACTAGTCCCTAGTGAAGGTTTATTTGACTGTTGATATGTTTCTCTTAGTCATTTAGTTTTAAGTAGCAGCCCTCTCCTGTCCCCTCAAAATCACCCATCCTCATTCCTTCTACCACTTTCACTAAAGAATGTGCATATTGTCCAAATTTGATATGCCCTATCCATAACTAAGGAACAATTCTCTAGATAGAATCGATGACTTAAGTATGGAATTTCTAATATTTTAGTAATAATGGGTGCACCATCACCCTAGTATTAAGAGGTAATTACTAAAAAAACTTCATCCTGGGGATTTCACAGAGCACAAACGGTTTTCACAGGAAAAGGTTCTGCCATGATGACTTCTAAAAATAATTGATTGCCTTCCTTCAAATTATATCCATTTTGTTCTAAATCCATTGAATTCAAATGCTTCTGTAAGTTTCATAGAGAAATGTCAATAGCGTTAAAGATAAGAATGCATTTTAACGAGTGATTCAAAATAAGCATTTACTGGCTGATTTAGAAACTATTAACCTGGGTGCTGCAACCAAAACAATGATTCCATATTTCTTAAGTAATCAAAGAAGATTATGTAAAAGAACAAAATGCTCTTTTGCAAACAGACCGTGGAAGAAGGCACAGAGCATTTCTCTGGAAATGCAGGATAAGTTTGCTGTTTAAGAAATGTAAACAAAAACCCGGGGGGTACCAATGATACAGCTAAAAGAGAATTTGGAAACGATTACATACTTATCACATCTGGCCTAATTATATACCTAACACTTACGGTGTTAATAAACATTCATAAATGGCTAAGGCCTGTGGGTAATTTATATAATGCATATATTTATAAAAACTTGTTTTTTCCAATGAAAATATTTACTTCTAGAAATAAATTTCAAATCATATAACCACAAGATTCAAGGACCTATCAGATGGGAGAGCAGCTCCATTTCAAAACAAGCAACACAGGTAGAGATCTGCTTGCCATGTGTATGAATATTTGGTAGCTACATGGAATCAAGTATCAGGAACAGTGCAGCTGTTACTGGGGACTGAGACTTACCTGTACTCGTAAGGAAGTTAACATTTCTCATCACACCTTCAGTGTAAGCTCCTGGCTCATAACTGTCCATTTCACCTGTGACAATGTGAGCAACTCTTGCTGCCCGTCCTCTGATAGCACCTGCAGCACGGTCTACATTATCAGCATCCTGGTCTCTCAATGCTATGATACACTTGTTGACATCTTCTAGGATATGGCTCTCTGAAAGTAAACAGATCAAATTAGTGTAGCATATTACAATTCATGCATCTTCTGACTTCAGATGTGGTACTCATTGGGAAAAAAGGACACACTGACAAAGAAACAAGATGATTTTGCTTATATCTCTTCAATAGAAAAAATTGTAAACACAGAATTTTATGTTTTTATCTACATTTTTATAGATTACATGTTATTTTAGATTTTAGTTCCAACTGACTAGTTTTTAGATTTGAGTGACACATAGGTGCAAATTGAGGAACATTTTTAGATTAAAATAAAAATAAAACATAATGATGGAATACTTAATTCTGATTAAAAGCCACACTATGCAGATTATAAAACACTTAAAAAATATCAGCTATCCCAAATATATAGAAAAATAAAACTATGGCATTCCAATTCAACTAATGTTCATTGGTGTGTAATAGAACTTAAGTTATAGTGGAGGCTTCCCCACACCAACAAGCAATTCTCTGGACACCAAATGAGTGTTCTGTGATTCAATTCCAACACTACCTACCCAGAGATAGCATCAGATCCCACAAGTTAAGAGTTCAGTCCTATAAGACTGCCCTCCACCCCACTTCAGAGCCAGTTGCAGGCCCAGGTTATTACCTGTACTTCTGACCCCCTGGCTATAAATCAGCTCCCACAACTTCCTCTTTGGTTTTGATTAATACACTAGAGTGGCTCACAGAACTCAGAGAAACATTTTACTTACTAGATTTAACTTTTATAACTCAGAACAGCCAGATGAAAGAGATGCATAGAGCAAACTACGTGGGAAGGGTGAGGAGCTTCCATGCCTTCTCCAGTTGCACCATTTTCCACACATCTCCAAATAGTCCCAACCTGGCAGCTCTCTAAACCCTGCCCTTTTGGGTTTTTAGGGAGGCTTTATTACATAGTCATGATTTATTAAATCACTGGCCTTTGGCAATTGATTCAACCTCCAGTCCCTCTTCCTCCCTGGATGCCAGAGGATGGGACTGTAAGTTCCAAAGTTCCAACCTTCTAATCACATGGTTGATTATCTTGGCAATCAGCCCCCAAGGGGGTGAGGGGATGGATGATACAAATTTCACTTCATGGGGGGGGGCGGAGCAAGATGGCAGAGGAGTAGAAGACCTGGATTTCGTCTGGTCTCGGAAATTCAGCTGGATAGGGATCAAACCATTCTGAACACCTACGAACTCAACAGATCGAAGAAAAGAATAGCAACAACCCTCTGAACAGAAAAACGACCACTTTCTGGAAGGTAGGACGTGCGGAGAAGTGAATCCCAAGCAATATTCTGGAGGATAGATGGCGGGGGAGGGGCCTCTGTCGGCTGCTTCTGGCAAGTGATAGAGCCATGGAGCACAAAATCGGAACTTTTAGAAGTCGGCTCCACTGAGGGACGTCGCTCCAGTGGCTAAGCGGGGGGTGGAACCCTCATGGGACAGTGTGGTCGGAGGACCCTTGGGGTCACAGGAAGACCGGGGGTGCCTGAGTGCAGCAGAGCTCCCAGGTATCGGAGTGGGAAAGCCGGCTGCAGAGATGGAGCCGAAGGGCAGGCCCTCAGCTCCGGGGTGCCATAAATTGTGATCTGCAGCAGTTGGGCCACTGCTCCTCCAGCAGGGACCCAACAAGCGACAGATCCGGGGAGACTCCCCTTCCTCCCCTGGGAAGAGTGGCTTGGGAGCGCACCACAGGGATCTGTTGGGTTTGGAGACTCCACACCGAGTTAGGTGCCAGAGATAGAAATGCTCGGTCACAGGCCAGGTGAGCACGGAGTGCGGCCAGAGACCGGGGAGACAGGAGTGATCGACTGCTTTTCTCTGGGGCTCACTGAGGAGCAGGGCCCCGAGTTCTTGGCTCCTGTGGGGTGGAGATTGGGAGGCTGCCATTTTCACTCTCGGCCTCGAAAGCTGCACGGAAAGCTTGCAGGGAACAAAAGCTCCTGAGAGCAAACCCAAGCAGATTATTTACCCCAGACCAGGCAAGGGTGGGGCAATTCCACCGCCAGCAAAGACATTTGGGAACCATGGCAACAGGCCCCTCCCCCAGAAGATCAGCAAGAAGAGCCAGACAAGACCAGGTTTACCGATCAATGAGAATGGCAGAATGCCAGTGCTAGGGGAACACTGCACATAGAATCCATGGCTTTTTTACCGTGATTCTTTAGTCTTTCAAAGTTAATGTTTTTTAACTTTTTTTTTTAATTTTTCTTTTTCCCTTTTTCAACCAACATCTTATCAATCCCTTTAAAAAAATTTTTTTATTTTTCATTTTTAGAGTCATATTTTATCCCTTCATAGTAGTTACCCTTATTTTTGGCATATATATATATAAGTTTTTCTCTCTTTAAAATTTTGAGATACAGTTTCTTCTAACAGATCAAAATATACCCTAAATCTCTAGTGTATGGCTTTGTTCTAGTCTCCTGCCTGATCACATTCTCTCCCTTTTTTCTCTCTTTTTTTTAAATCC